AGGCCAGCCTGGGCTACCAAGTGAGTTCCAGGAAAGGCGCAAAGCTACACAGAGAAACCCTGTCTCAAAAAAACCAAATAAATAAATAAATAAATGAATAAATGAATAAATAAATAAATAAAAATAAAAAATGAAAATTTGATATATAAATAATGCTATTGTGGTATTAATATATTATTATTATTATTATTATTATTATTATTATTATTTGGTTTTTGGAGACAGGGTTTCTCTGCAAGGTTTTTGTGCCTGTCCTGGAACTCCCTCTGTAGACCAGGCTGGCCTCAAACTCACAGAGATCCGCCTGGCTCTGCCTCCTGAGTGCTGGGATTAAAGGCGTGCACCACCACCACCACCACCACCACCACCACCCAGCTGTAGTATTATTTAAAATTTTTTATGTGTATTGATGTTTTGCCTGCATTGATGTCTATGCACCACGCATGTCCCTAGTGACCTTGGAGTCCATATGAGGTCCGAGGTCATCAGATTCCCTGTAACTGGAGTTACAGTCGATTGTGAGTCACCATGTGGACACTAGAACTGAACCTGTGTCCTCTGTAGAGCGGCCATTGTCTCCAGTCCCTGAATTTCATTAAAACATATTTTATGACGGGAGGCGGTGCCGCACACCTGGTCTACAGAGTGAGATCCGGGACAGGCACCAAAAACACACGGAGAAACCCTGTCTCGAAAAGAAAAAAAAAAAAAAAACTACCTACAAAAACATATTTTATGTGTATGGATGTTTTGTCTGTGTTATCTCTGTGCACCATATACATATTTGGTGCCCATGGAGGCCAGAAGAGGGCATGGGATCCCCTGGCACTGGAGTTTCAGATGGTTGTTAGCTGTCATATGGGTGTTGGGAATTGAACCTGGTTCCTCTGCAAGAGCAGCCAGTGCTCTTAATTTCTGAGCCATCTCTCCAGCTCCTTGAATTTCATATTTGTCCTTGTCCTTACAAAAAGTGTACAGGCTTTGAAATGCTCCAAATCATTTCATGTAATCAAGAAGCATTTGGTCGTTTCATAGATTTAGATTTTAAAGATCAGAAGCTCTGACCCTGAACTGCCTTACACTGACATGTTCTTCGTCTAGGGTCTCTCTGCTCTCATGTCTAAGATCCAATCCCACTTGCCGGCACCTCTGCCTAGCTCCGGGACTGGAGATTTACTCAGGGCCAAGCACAGGCTAAGCAATCACTCTACCCCCAGACTTCTTTTGTTGCAGGCACGTACATTTATTTTCTTTACAAGATGATGATGGGGAAGCCAGGCCGACTGTCATACTGGGGTGCGCTGGGGTAAGGCCAACAGGATCATGAATTGGAGGTCAGCTGGGCTGCACTGAGAGGCCAAATTTAAAAAAAAAAAAAGAAAGGTGAGAAATTGTGGGTTTCGAAACCACGTAAGCTGTAGACAGGGGTTAGTGTTGAGCCCGACTAGGGCCACAGGGTCCAGGCTAAGGCCCATCTTCTTTCAGGTCAAACGTCACAATCTACAAACCTTGGTATGTAAGGTCTAAGGAACTGCAAGCTTAAAAACGAGAGCGAGGGACAGAGACAGATCATGCTTTCAGGAGAGAATGAGCAGGGCCAGGGCAGGCGGAAGCACGCCCTCCCCAGTGAAAGTGGGGCCCAGCCGAGGGAAATCTCGGTTCCCACCCCCGGGGACTCCAGGCCTGGACTACAGTTCTGCTCTCAGGCTCAGGGCCCTGGCACCGCCCAGAGCGGGAGGCTGGGTCGTACCATGATGTCTCCAGAGGGGTGGCAGTGTGTGGAAGGCGGGCCCCGGGGGAGCGAACGAGCGCTCGTTTTCCCAGAGACGATGAGACACACGCATCGGCCGCTGGCCGTCGAATTCGCTTCTCTTTTTGTCTCCCGGGGTTTCGCCGTGTCCTCGGGCAAGGGCGGGACCCTGGCCGCGCTCCCCCCCTCGCGCTGCCCAACTTGGTACGCCCCGGGGGCGCGTAGGCGGGCGACGTACTTAAGGCCGGCGCGGGAGGCGGGGCGGCTCAGTCCTCGCGGCGCCGCTTCGCAGTCGCCTGGAACCCCTGTTGCTGGGCGGCCCGTGCGCGCGTGCGCGGACATGGCTTCAAACGGTGAGCGAGGGCGCGCGGCGGGCGGCGAGGGCGCGTCCCGGGGAGGCCTCGTTCCCTCCCGGCCAGGCTTTTGGATCTTTTTTTTTGGTGGGCCTGCGGTGGCGGGCGGCCGGGTGTGGGGCTCCCGCGCCCCTGTGGCGGGAAGGCGGCGGGAGGAAGGAAAGGGGAGGGCGGTGTCGCCATCTTGTGTGGCTCCACGGGCGCCTTTGGCGCCGAGTCTGGGGGGGGGCGGCCTTCCCTCGCGGCCCGCTCCACTTGGCGAGCGGGTCGAGAGGGACGCCGCCTGGCGACGTGGAGTGAGGGGCGAGGAGGCGCCGGGGCCCCTTGGCCTCGCCCCACCCCCTCCCTGGCTGCCGGGCCTCGCTTTGTCGCAGTGCTGCATCCGGGCACTTGGTGCGCGCACGCGCTCCGCTGGCCCCTCCCCCTTTCTCGGCGCGTTTTTTTTTTTTTTTTTTTTAATCCGCCCTCCCCCTCGCCCGCCTCGAGTTGGTTTGGGTTTTTGTCGCGAGACCCTCGGCGGAAGGCCGCCGGCCCGGTGTTGGCCTCGCCCTGCTCCCCGGGTCCCTCGGGAAGGGGCGGGGCCGGCCTCTTCCCGCCTCCGTGGCCTCCCGGCCGGGGCGGACGCGCTCAGAACTGGCCCGCGTGTCGGGGAGGCTGGGAGAAGGACCAACGGACTCCGGGATCTAGTTTTCCCGAGGCAGGAAGGACACGAAAGGAGTCGCTTCCCGAGGCCACACCCTCTTGGCTGTCATTTTTTTTTTTTTCTTTCCTCGTGCGGGGGCAGACCCCGGGTTTCCTGCACGGAGCTGAGCTACTGCTTGGCTTAAGGTGCTCTCTGCTTGTCGTGCGCCCGGTAGGCGGGAACGCCATCACTGGGAGGGGAGCCACAGGTCCGGAGCCTTGTTTGGCTTTGTACTAAAGCTTCACTTTGCCTTCATAAGGTCTGCAAGGTTGGCCACAAGGTGAATGGATGCTTTTAATAAGGGCATTTGTATGGTGTTGGAGGGTCACGTTCTTCAGACTGCTTGTGACTGTACAAGTCAATCCTGACTTCTGGTGACATTTTCCTATAGAGCTACTGTGAAGATGAACGTGGTGTGTGTGTGTGTGTGTGTGTGTGTGTGTGTGTGTTGCAGGCCTTGGGGAGGCCGAGACAGGATTTTTAAAGTTCATGGATGGTCTCTGTACTGGAGTTTGAGACTTGTTTAAAGAAGAAAAAAATTAAGCCGGATGTGGTGGTACACGCCTTTGGTCCCAGGGATAGGGAGGCAGAGGCAGGGGGATTTCTTGAGTTCGAGGCCAGCTTAGTGTGCATAGTGAATTCAGGGACAGTCAGGTACGTAATAAGAGACCCCGTCTATAAAAAACCAAAAATGTGAAAAAAAAGAAGGTAAATAATACAGAACCATTCCCTTGACAATATTTTCAGGTAGTAGTAGTTATCCACAGAAATCTTTTGGTGGTTTTTTTTGTTTCTTTTCTTTTTTTTTGTTTGTTTGTTTGATGCCTTAGGCTGGTGTTACAGCTTAGTGGTAGCTTGTTTAGCATGGTCCAGGTCCTGGATTTTACCCAGAACAAAACAAAAATCGAAGGCTTAGTTGATGTCTAGGAATTTGTGCCTTCTTTGCTATTGTATTAAAACTTACCTATTTCTAGCTTGCTTTACTCACAACTGGTGTTTCATGAAGGATGAAGGACTTAGCCTGGTTTTGCAATGGCATTTTTGAAGATTTATTTGATCTGGAGTGCCTCCTTTCTCCCCCCCCCCCCCCCAGGGTTTCTCTGTGTAGTTTTGGTGCCTGTTCTGGATCTCGCTCAGTAGACCAGGCTGGCCTCAAATTCAAGCCTCCTCAGTGCAGGGATTAAAGGCATGTGCCACTACCGCCCGGCAGGAGTGCCTCTTTTTTGTTTTTTAAGACTTAGTTTTTGTAGTCTTGGCTGTCCTGGAACTAGCTCTGTAGACTAGGCTGGCCTCCAACTCAGAGATGCACCTACTTCTGCCTCTTGAGTGCTGGGATTAAGGGTTTGTCTCCCCCCCCCCCAGAGTGGCTAGTACTGAAGATGAATTTAAATTCTATTCCAGTCTTAACTAAAATTAACATAACTTTCTTCCCTTCCACCTTTCTTTGACAGATTATACCCAACAAGCAACTCAAAGGTGAGTATTGTTTCTGGGCTGGCATGTGTTGATGGTAAGCGTGGCCTTTACACTTTAGTTATCTGTTTTTGTATGCTTTTGTTTTTTATTCTCTTTTATTGAAGATAACTTTACTGATCTGTTGTTTTTCTCCCCCCCCCTCTGTCCTAGCTATGGGGCTTATCCTACCCAGCCTGGGCAGGGATACTCCCAGCAGAGCAATCAACCCTATGGCCAGCAGAGTTACAGTGGTTATGGCCAGTCAGCTGACACTTCGGGATATGGCCAGAGCAGCTATGGGTCTTCTTATGGACAGACCCAAAACAGTGAGTCTCTTAGTGGACACAGCTTCACCCATTTTTTCTGAGTGTTAATAGCTCTTAAACCTGAAAAGTACTGAAAATCTCATATTTTCCCTTGTCAATCTAATTGTTAAAATTTTGTGGTCAATCTATTTTTAAAAAATGTGTGATTGTTTCTTGAAACAATTTTCTCCATATTTTCATTTTGTGAAAAAGCATGTTTCCTAAAGAGAACCAGTTTTAGGATGGAAGGAAATGGTTTCTTTGAAAATGGCTGTGCTGATACATGTGATTCACAGAGGTGGGATTTGCCCTTAGGTCCAAAAGACAAAAAAAAATACTGTGTCTATATCAGCACATTTAAATTTAGTTAGTAGGGATCTCTTGTGTTTTTTAAAAAGCTAGGCAGGCATTGTGATTTCTGTATATTTTGTGTGAGTGCAGGCATGCTTGTTACATGGTGCATATGTGGAGGTCAGAGGACCACTTTCCAGGGTTTGTTGTTGCCTACCTTTGTGATGATTCCGGTGATTGAACCCAGGTTAAGACTTTCACAGCAAGTCTAATTTTCCTTTAAAAAAAAAAAGTGATTTGAAATAGTTTCATTAAGATGCCCAGATTGGCCTTAAACTGTGACCTTCCTGCCCCAGTCTTCAGGTAGCTGGCCTTCCTCAGTAAACCTCTTATTAGCAGCCTCTAAGCTGACTTTTTTTTTTTTCTCAAGTAATAGGTGAGGACTGGGAAGTGTATAATGTTTTCTTCAAGCTATGCCTTGCCCCATCCCTCCATTTTCCTTCAGCTAATCTTATTATGTAGCTTTGGTTGACCTGGAACTGGACATGTAGACCAGTTTGGCCTTGATAGTGGAGATACCTGCCTCTGCCTCCCCAGTGCTAGGATTAGAGATGAGCACAATTGCACCTGCCCTTTTTTGTCTTGACAGCATTTGTAACTCTGTTTTCTTTGTAGCAGGCTATGGCACTCAGTCAGCTCCCCAGGGATATGGTTCCACTGGAGGCTATGGCAGCAGCCAAAGTTCCCAGTCTTCTTATGGGCAGCAGTCCTCCTACCCTGGCTATGGCCAACAGCCAGCTCCTAGCAGCACCTCGGGAAGGTAAGGTCGTATGAGAGTGGGTAAGGCCAGAAAGTATTGATAAATTAATGGTTGGCTCTCTGAGTAAAGAAAGGGAATGGACTAAAAGTGAAGGAGGTATTTGGTCATTTTATAGCATAATTCTGATTTTTCTTTGTTTTCCACTTAGTTACGGTGGCAGTTCTCAGAGCAGCAGCTATGGGCAGCCCCAGAGTGGAGGCTATGGCCAACAGTCAGGCTATGGTGGACAGCAACAAAGCTATGGACAACAGCAAAGCTCCTATAACCCACCTCAGGGTTATGGACAACAGAACCAGTACAACAGCAGCAGTGGAGGTGGTGGAGGGGGTGGTGGAGGTGAGAAAGTGGCTTCAGTTTTTGTCGTCTTCTCTGTGAATTTGCCCCTTAACTTAAAATTGTGCCTTTCTTGTTTACTAAGTTTCTAGTTCTTTCTGTCCTTTATAGTGACACCATTGACCGTTTCCGATACTTCACATCCTCTCACTTTTGTTGCTGAGAATTGCAACAGAAATTTATATATGCTAAGCATACATAACTACTAAGCACCCCCAGCCCTGTTTTTTTTAAAGTATTATTATTATTTTTATAGGCAACTATGGCCAAGATCAGTCCTCCATGAGTGGTGGTGGCGGCGGCGGCGGTTACGGCAATCAGGACCAGAGTGGTGGCGGCGGTGGTGGCTACGGGGGAGGCCAGCAGGACCGTGGGGGCCGAGGCAGGGGCGGTGGAGGTGGTTACAACCGAAGCAGTGGTGGCTATGAACCCAGAGGCCGTGGAGGTGGCCGAGGAGGCAGAGGCGGCATGGGGTAGGTGTTTCGTGAGTCAGGGAGTACCTTCAGTTGGGGAGTGTTGCATGGATCTCCCTTGAAGTCAGTCTCTAGTGCATGATTAGTATTGTTCTCTGGGGATATGTAAGGGCTTTAATTTGTGGGCAGAAGTGTTTCTTTGTATATTCCTATTATGTTTTTGTGAGAACTTGGGAGCCAAAATCCCATTTACAGCTCTTGAGTAGAGATTTGAGTATTGGTGCATTTATTTTCCAAAGAAAAAGAATACACATAGATGTGGATTGGAGTTGTTATCT